GGGTTGTTTCCCGCAGGGAGTCCCCCACACGTGGGCTGGCTTTCCCCGAGCAGCACAGGGAGCTGCACAGGAGCCCGTCCCACCGGCAGGCACACGCGTGCTCCAGCGGGAGGTGCCAGCGGCTCGCGGCTGTGCGCCTCGGTAACCATGCCAACGAGCCCTGCCCCGGCTCCGCTGCTGGAGCATCGTCCTCTCCACCACCAGGCAGGGCGCGGGCCTCACTGAGGCTGGCTGCTGACGGGGCAACCGATCATAGTTCTCCCCCACATGGATGTGTCTCTCTCTCTCCCTCCCTCTCTCTCTCTCTCTCTCTCCTTTCTCCGAAATCAATAGACATATCCTTGGCTGAGGATGGAAAAACCCGATCGAATAGCCGAAACGGGTGTGGCTCAGTGGATAGAGCGTCGGCCTGCGGACTGAAAGGTCCCAGGTTCGATTCCAATCAAGGGCATGTACCTTGGTTTCAGGCACATCCCCGGTGGGGAGTGTGCAGGAGGCAGCTGATCGATGTTCCTCTGTCATCGATGTTTCTAACTCTATCCCTTTCCCTTCTTTGTAAAAAACCAAGAAAATATATATATTTTTAAATCCTATCTAATAAAGAGGAAATATGCTAATTGACCATCCCTCCTTCACAAAGATGGCTGCACCCACAGCTGAGGCCAAGTTCCCATAAGGCGCCTTAACAAGCAATCAGCAGGCTGCACCCTCCCCCACCCCCGTGGGCTTGACAGGGGACCCAGGCTGTGTCCCCCACCCGGCGGGCTTGATGAAGGACTTCCAGGCATGCCCGCACCCCGGACTGGTCTGGGGGACCTCAGGCCACACCCCTGGTCCTGGCACTGGGCCAGGGAGACCTCAGGCTACACCCCTGCCTGACAGGGCTTGGCAAGGGTGGGACTGGCTAGGTCTGGATCTAGCCCAAAGAGGGGGGGGTGCGGTCAGCCAGGTCTCATGCAATTTTGAGGTGCACTCGGGTGGGCAGGGACTTGACTCAGTCCTGTGCTGAGCCCCGGACATTGACAGGAGGAAGATTTTCACATACATTTTACTAATTTTCTTTCATCTCTGACACTTCTATTATAGAGAAAGGGCAAATAGCAATAGTAAATTATTTCCTCTAATTTAGGGGTGTCGAACTCAATCGGAGAAGGGGCCAAAATCTAAAATCCAGCCTAAATCGCGGGCTGAATGGTTTACTGAACAGTCATAAACTGTCATTGTGATGGAAACGCAGCGGAGTGCAGTGATGACAGCGCGGTGCGGGCCACATTGCAAGGCCTGGCGGGACGGATTTGGCCCTCGGGCCTTGTGTTTGACACATGTGCTCTAATTAATCCCCTTTTAATGTGCATGAATTTCATGCACCGGGTCACTAATAATAATAATAATAATAATAATAATAATCCTATTTAATAACAGGGTAATATGCAAATGGACCAAATGGCAGGACAACCAGAATGCCTGTGGCCCCTTGCCCAGTTGGCCTGGCCCTCCAGTGGGCACTGCCACCCTGATTGGAGGTGGAGCTGGCTGGCAAACTGCCTGGGGCCCCTGACCTGGTCGGCCCCGCCTCCGGCTGCCCCCACCCCACCCCATCCCCAGCCAGCCTGCCCCTGATGGTCCCCATCAGGGTGGGCGGCTGGACCCTACCAGTGCACGAATTCATGCACCAGGCCTCTAATACTCATAATTATAATTATAATGCTGAGGAGAATGTCCTTGTCACTTATGTCTACTGGCTGAAGCGAGGGGGATCTTTATGCATGCTAACATCGCTTTGTAAGGTCTATTGTTAGAAGTGACGGTGCTGGGTCAGGCAGCATGCATGCATTTAAGCTCAGCACTGGCGTGAGCTTTGTGACAATCCTATGCTCATGCACCCACGTCGGAGCGCTCACTCTCCCACAGCCTGTGACGCTGGCAGCGCGGTGCCGGGGGTGCGGGGGGGTTCCCCTGGGGCTGCTCAAGACTCCCCGGCTGACTTCCTCTTCCCTGGTCCCCACTTTGGTTCAGCCCTCAGTTTTCCCAAGACCCCCCTCCCCCACCCACCCAGCGGGGGGCGGCTGAGCTCTCTTCTCCTGGGGGAAGGAGGGAGGGACTGACACGTCTGCAGAAAGGCTGGTGACAGGCCTGAGTGCTGGATCAAAGCCGTTCCCGGCTCTGGGTTCAAACTCCCCGCCGGTGCCTGCGCCTCCATTCCAATCTGCACCCTCGGCCGCCCACACTCTCCCCGGCGCAGCGGCTCTCGGCGCACGCGCGCCCCCTGCTGGACACAGGAGGGAGGGAGCCGGCGGCAGGGCCGGGACTCAGGTGGAGATGGGCAGACGGAGGTGGAGACAGATGCAGCCTCAGGGGCGCCCAAAGGGAAGGAGACACAGGGGGCCCCGCCACGCCCCTCCCTGGAGTCTCCAGGCCTGGCGCACCCCGTGTCCCGCCGGGGCTCAGCCGGACACGCAGGGCTCCGCAGCACCCAGCCGCCACCCCCAGGCGCGCCCTGCGCCCTCAGCGTTGCCTGTTCTGCCTCCGCGGGGTTGGGATGCGTCTTCCAGGCGCTCCCTCTGCCAGCTCACCCCGGGCCTTTGGGACCCGGCAAACCCTCCCCCGGACCCTCTGCCCCTCCCCCCGCGGCTCCGGGCCTTTTCCGGGCGTCCCGGCCCGCGGCCCCGTGTGCACCCTCATCTCCCCGCGGGGGCGCTCTCTGTGCAGATGTCAGAGCTGCCCCAGAGCAGAGGTTGAGGCTCCTTCTTGTTGTTGTTTTAGCTCTGAGGACTCGACCTGTGGACTCATGAGTGTGGACTCACTCATTGCAAACCCCACTCCAGCCCAGCCAGCCTGGCTCAGGGAACCAGTGGGAGGTCCCGGTTCGGTTCCTGGTCACAGCGAATGCCCGAGGTGCGGGCTCCGTCACCAGCTCGGCGTGCAGGGAGCAGCTGGTCAATGATTCTCTTTCATCATTGATGTCCCTCTCTCTCTCTCTCCCTCCTCCCTCCCTCCCTCCCGTCTGTGAGACACCGGCCAGTTCACTCCCCTTCTCTGATCTCCCATGACCTCACTCACTGGGAAAGGGATTCTTCTTCTAAAGACAAACGGTTGCCTTTGGCCTTAGCCGGTATGGCTCAATGGCTAGAGCGTCAGCCTACTGCATTGAAGGGTCCCGGGGTTCAATTCTGGTCCAGGGCACAGGCCTGAGTTGCCAGTTCCATCCCCAGTTGGGGGTGTGCAGGAGGCAGCCCATCGATGATTCTCTCTCATCATGAATGTTTCTCTCTCTCTCTCACTCCTCCTTCCTCTCTGAATTAATAGAAATACAGATATATATTTTAGTATAATTTTATTTTTTAAAGATTGCCTTTGCCCGGACCAGTTTGGCTCAGTGGATAGAAAGGTCCCAGTTTCGATTCCAGTCAAGGGCATGTACCTTGGTTGCGGGCACATCCCCAGTAGGTGGTGTGCAGGAGGCAGCTGGTGGATGTTTCTCTCTCATGGATGCTTCTCACTCTATCCCTCTCCCTTTCTCTCTTTAAAAATCAATAAAATATATTAAATAATAAATAAATAAGGATTTGTCCACTCCTATCCAGGAAATCCAGGCTCCCCCAGAAGACAGACTCCCACATGTGGAGGCCCTAGGACTGCGGACTGTGAGCTAATAATGGTGATTCCTGTCCATGGGCACGCCCCCCCGCCAGGCCCCCTTTGCAGACACTCTCAGCCACACGGGACCACAGGGACAGGTGAGGAGACCGACAGCGAGACGAGGGGACACCGCGGGCTCTCGGGCCCGTCACAGGCATTGTCCTGGTGGCTGGTCTGTTCCCACCCGTGTGGACACTGCTGGTGGCCAGCCCAGGCCCCTGGCCGGTTCTGTGCAGGCAGCCTCCAGCCGCTGCGAGCTCTGGGCATGATGACGCCTTTCTGGTCCTCGGTGTGTCTCACATCCGGGGCTTTGCTGACAATGGAGGAGCTGCCCCCACAGGGCTAGCCACCCCCCAGCGGGAACACAGAACGCGCCTGTGCACAGGCCTCTCCCATGCAAACCCAGCGACCTGCAGCCTGGACTCCCACCACCTCCCGGGACGCTGTCCTCTCCTGCTTGCCCCAGGGCCGGGCTCCACACACCTGGGGCCCAGAGCCTGCTGAAATCACTCACACTCGCCATTCTCACCTGCTCACCCTGCCTCAACGGTTCCTTTTTAAAATATAGCTTTAGCCCTGACCGGTGTGGCTCAGTGGATAGAGCGTCAGCCTGCGGACTCAAGGGTCCCGGGATTGATTCCGGTCAAGGGCATGTATGTACCTTGGTTGCAGGCACATCCCCAGTAGGAGGTGTGCAGGAGGCAGCTGATTGGTGTTTCTCTCTCATTAATGTTTCTAACTCTCCCTCTCCCTTCCTCTGGAAAAAAAAATTCAATAAAATATATTTTATTATATATATTTTAGAGAGGAAGGGAGAGGGAGATAGAAACACCAATAGGAGAGAATCATTGATTGGCTGCCTTCTGCATGCCCTCTATTGGGGATCCAGCCCACAACCCAGGCATGTGCTCTTAACTGGAATCGAACCCAGGACACTTCAGTCTGAGCCAAACCAGCTAGGGCTCTGCCTCAGCTGTCCCTTCTTGAGGGAACCACAATAAATGCTCTTCCTCTCTCTCCCTAGGCCTTCTGCTGACGCTGGGGCTTCCCCATGTGGCCCTACAGGGCTTGGAATATTCCCTTCTTTTTAAAAGAAAAACACACATATTTTTATTAATTTCAGAGAGGAAGGGAGAGGGAGAAAGAGCTGGAAACATCAATGATGAGAATCACTAATTGGCTGCCTCCTGCATGCCCCCTACTGGGGATCGAGTCCACAACTCGGGTACATGCCCTTGACCAGAATCGAACCTGGGACCCTTCAGTCCACAGGCCAATGCTCTACACTAGGCTCAGTCCCTAGTGTGGGGCGTGAAGGAGGCAGCTGACCGATGATTCTCTCTCATCATTGATGTTTCTCTCCCCCTCCCGCTCTCTTCCTCTCTGCAATCAATAAAAATTTATTTTTTTAAAAAGAAAATGCTTCTTTTCCTAGATAGCTCACTTTGGGGAGCCCCGAGCTACCTACCAGGTAAGGAGTCTATGCCTCTGTTGGGGAGGCCATGTGGAGAGGGAGAGGGTGGAGACTACGCAGAGAGGGAGAGAAATCCAGATGCCCACAGCCCAGGCGAGGCCGGCCGAGGAGCAGCATCGTGGGATTTGCAGCCAATTGGGCCCTAGCTGACATCAGATGGTGCTGAAGAACTGCCTTGCTGAGCCCAGTCCACCCACGGAATTGTGAGCCATCATACAGTACTTATTATTTTAAGATGCTACTTTTTGGGGTGGTTTGTTATTCGGTGATAAAAACCCAAACTGGGACCTCCCTTTGCCTTAAAGGCCCAGTTCCCTTTTCCTCAAGGTGGGAACGGCCCTGCACCTTTTATTTATTTATTTATTTATTTATTTTAATATGGCTTTATTGATTTTTTAGAGAGAGAGGAAGGGAGAGAGGTAGAAAAACGGATAAGAGAGGAATATCATCAATCGGCTGCCCCCTGCCTGCACCCCTCCTGGGGATGGAGCCCGCAAACCAGGCATGTGCCCTGACGGGGAATCGAACCGCTGATCTTTTGTTTCCTGGGCCGACACTCAACCGCTGAGCTGCACCAGCGGGGCACGACCCTGCAACCTAATTCATCCTCCGGGTTCGGGCGGAGATCAGGACTTCATCTGACAGCCTCCTCCTGGTGGTCTTCCCCCCGTCACCGCCCTGTTTCCCCCACTCCTTTCACGTCTCCTGGGAGCGTTTCTTTAATAAATCATGCACACGGGAATGCGCCTCGGGCTCCGCTCAGAATGTGACCTGGGACACGAGGATGCTTCTGGTTTTCTCATCCCCAGCCAGAAGCCACGGGTCTGGCTCCCGAGTCTCCCTCCCCACTCCTCCCTCCCCCTCTCCGCATCCCAAGAGCACAGAGCACCTTCCAGATGCCCCAGCCACGGTAGCCACGTATTCGGTGGGATGAGAAGAAGACATCGGAGAGGTCTCTGCAGAAAGCAACAAGCAGCTTGTTTGCCCCGGGCAGCAGCCAGCGGAGCTCCCGGCCCCAGCACACAGCCCTTGGCGGAAAAGTCAGGGGGCTGGTGTGTCCGGCGGCAGGTTACGGCCCAGGCGACAGGAGTGTGGCTTCTGATCCCGGGTCCGTGGTGGGAGGGGACTCTCCCAGGCGTTCCAACCCCTCCCTCAGGGAGCCTGTGTCTCGGTGACTCCCCATCCCTGCCAGTTCTCCGTCCCTTGAAACCCTAGAACCCATCACCAGGGACCCTCCAGCAGGTCCCACAGCCGGGGGCCGCCGGAGTCAGAGAAGTCAGCAGAGAAGATGCTGGGGGCTGGGGGGCCACAGCCCAGCGGCGGACCCCCGCTCAGAGCTTCCAGCCAGTCCAAGGCGTCCGAGGGGCCCCTGGGAGAGGCGGGTGGGAAGCTTGTGGGGGACGGGAGCGAGGAAGAGAAGACAGAGCAGAGGCCTTCAGAGTCTGGGGAAGGGGACAGCACGTCGAAGGAGCCAGGGAAGTCCAGGGGGATGGGGGGCAGCAGGTCTGCGGAGGGGAGGGGGGGAGAAATGGAGTGTGAGCTTAGGAAGGCGGGGATCCGGCCCCAAGTCCCGCAGGGGTTTCCCGTTTCCAGGAGTCCAGAACCTCAGCCCCCTATGCCCCCAAAATCTAGGAGTTCGGCTTTTACCATCAGGCTCCTCCTGAACGTCCAGGATGTCATCGATGCCCCGGTTCGGAAGCAACTGCGGACAGGCAGAAGCGGAGTGACCCTGGGACTCTGGCCCAAGTCCCGACCGGAGCCCACTAGCCCGCTGCCTCTCACCTGCGCCCTCCGGATCGCTTCCTGCAGCTCCTGCTCCAGAGTCGGGGCTGCTGCGGCTGGTGCTGCGGCTGGTGCTGCGGGAGGGGTCGGTTCTGCAGCCAGAGCCGGAGCTGGAGCCAGAACCGGAGGCGGAGCCGGAGCGGCAGCCGGAGGGGGCACGGGGGTTCCCACGGCAGGAGACGGAGGCGGTGGGGGAGATGCCGGGCTGGGCTTGGACTAAGAATCCAGAGGAGGATGGTCCTTTAAGACACGCCCACTCGCCACAAACCCCGCCCGCTCCTAACCCGAGGCTCCACCCCTGGCCCTGGCCCGCCTTTCCCTCTTGACACTAGCCACGCCCCTCGTCTTCTCATTGGCTTCTCTTTCCCCTCATTTCCTCTTAACCACGCCCCGCACTTCCCCGGCAATTCTTTTCCACCGCCCGCCCGCCCGTTCCGCCTCTTCTCATTGGCCCACACGCGCGTAGCCCCGCCCCGCCGCTCATAGCCCTGCCCTCAGCGCACATAGTCCCGCCCTCTCCTCATTGGCCCACACGCGCATAGCCCCGCCCTCACCGCGCGTAGCCCCGCCCTTACCGAGTGTCGCCGGGCGGCGGCCAGGGCCTTGGGCCTGAGGCGCGGCCAGGGCGTGGCCGCCGGACCTTCCTCGCGCCGCGACTTAGGCCGCTCGCGGGACTGGGCGCCTCCGCGCATGCGCTCCAGGAGCGTCGACTTGGTCCCGGACACCGGGAGGCCCCGCAGGCGCAGCTGCTGCCGGAGCTCCGAGACCTGGGGCGGGGCGGGGCGGGGCGAGCCTCGCTGGGCGGGCTCCAGGGCGCGGGACGGGGCGGGCTGGGCCGAGGACACCGAGAGGAGGGACCGTGGACACGCACACACACACCGCTCCTGGGTCTCTCTCTCAAACACACACACACACACACACACACCTGATCCTGGATCACACACACACACACACACACACACCTGATCCTGGATCACACACACACACACACACACACCTGATCCTGGATCACACACACACACACACACACACACACCTGATCCTGGATCACTCTCACACACACACACACCTGATCCTGGATCACTCACACACACACACACCTGATCCTGAGTCACACAACACACCCCACTCTTGGGTCTCTGATGGGGCAGAAGCCGCAGCCTGAGCCTCCTGCGTCCCCCCACTGAGGGGGCGGGCAGCCTGGAGCTGCTCCCACACTCACCGTCAGCTCCTCCAGTTTCAGGGTCTGAAGTTCCAACTTGTGCGGCGGAGGCGAGGGGCTGGGGGCCCCGGGGAAGCCGGCGGGGAGGGCGGTGGCCCTCATCCTGGCGGTGGTCAGACGGGTTAGAGGGCGTACGGAGGAAAGGGACCCGGGTTAGAGGGCGCACGGAGGAAAGGGACCCGGGTTAGAGGGCGCACGGAGGAAAGGGACCGGGGTTAGAGGGCGCACGGAGGAAAGGGACCCGGGTTAGAGGGCGCACGGAGAAGGACCGGGTAGAGGGCGCACGGAGGAAAGGGACCCGGTTAGAGGGCGCACGGAGGAAAGAAACCGGGGTTAGAGGGCGCACGGAGGAAAGGGACCCGGTTAGAGGGCGCACGGAGGAAAGGGACCCGGGTTAGAGGGCGCACGGAGGAAAGGGACCGGGTTAGAGGGCGCACGGAGGAAAGGGACCCGGGTTAGAGGCGCACGGAGGAAAGGGACCGGGTTAGAGGGCGCGCGGAGGAAAGGGACCCGGGTTAGAGGGCGCACGGAGGAAAGGGACCGGGTTAGAGGGCGCGCGGAGGAAAGGGACCGGGTTAGAGGGCGCGCGGAGGAAAGGGACCCGGGTTAGAGGGCGCACGGAGGAAAGGGACCGGGTTAGAGGGCGCGCGGAGGAAAGGGACCCGGGTTAGAGGGCGCACGGAGGAAAGGGACTCGGGTTAGAGGGCGCGCGGAGGAAAGGGACCCGGGTTAGAGGGCGCACGGAGGAAAGGGACCCGGGTTAGAGGGCGCGCGGAGGAAAGGGACCCGGGTTAGAGGGCGCACGGAGGAAAGGGACCCGGGTTAGAGGGCGCACGGAGGAAAGGGACCCGGGTTAGAGGGCGCACGGAGGAAAGGGACCCGTGAAGACGCAGAGGAACGCAGCCTGGTATTCGGGTCTCGAAGGAGCAAACCCAGGAGGCCAGGCCTGGGCTGGGGAAGGAGGGGCAGGGCTCGCTCGGGTGAGGGGGGCTCAGGGGCCTGCAGGGAGAGGGGCTGGGAGCCGGACTCTGGCGTCCTGGGCGAGGTGGGTCTATGGGCCCACGCCCCTGACCTTGGACTCTGGGTGTGAAGGAAGAGGAGGATGGGACTTGAACTTCCCGAGGACAGAAATGGGGGCCTTAGCCGAAACCGGTTTGGCTCAGTGGATAGAGCGTCTGCCTGTGGACTGAGGGGTCCCAGGTTCGATTCCGGTCAATGGCATGTGCCTTGGTTGTGGGCACATCCCCAGTGGGGGGGGTGCAGGAGGCAGCTGATTGATGTCTCTCTCTCATCGATGTTTCTAACTCTATCCCTCTCTCTTCCTCTCTGTCAAAAATCAATAAAATTAAAAAATATATTTTTAGTTAAATAAAAGAAACGGGGGCCATACCTAGGAGGTGGCTGCTGGGCGTTTGTCTCTGCCCAGGCAAGTGGCCGCTGCGGGGCAGCCCCGGCCGCCCCTCCAGCCCGGGAGTCTGCCCTGGCCCCTTGTCTCGGCTCGGGGGGCAGGTACTGGTGGTAAGTCAGGTTCCCCTGGGACTTGGCCTCCGTCCAGCGCTGGGAGACCTTGGGAGGCGCCTGGAAAAGCAGGGGTGAAGTCGTACGCCTCAGCTCTGCTCCTCCTTCCCTGCCGAGCCCCATGGGAAGCAGGGGGTCAGCTTGGAAAGAGGACCGAGGCTGGACGGTCGGGGGGCCCTCCCCTCACTCTGGGGGAGACTCACATCCTCCTGGGGCCTCCACGGGCAGCGTTGTGGCTCGGGGTGCAGGACCCCAGGACTGGGGAGGAGAGAGGCGGGGCCCGCGGGCGAGGCCGGGACGGGGGCCGGAGCCGGGCCCGAGGCTGAGATCCAGGGGTCTGGGTCGGAGCCTGGAGGGGCGGTGAAGGGTCCCGAGAGGCCTTCGGGCAGCAAGCCAGGCAGTGAGGAAAAGGCTGTGTGGGAAGGAGGGACCCCGAGGCCTCAGACACCCCCACCCCTTCACCCCCCACCCCCCACCCCGCTGTGGGGCAGCGGGACCAGGGAGGGAAACCCAAGTGGAGGGAGCTGGGTGTCCCGACGTCTCGAAGCCCAGACTTTCCCAGCCCAGTAAGGCAGGAATCTTGTCCGCAGCCTCCGGGGGGTGCTCGGGGCTGGGGTTTGCTGGAACAGGGTGGGCCCGGTACGCCTGGTCTGGAGGAGCGAGGGGAGCCGAACGCTACATCCTGAGACTCGTGCGTGTGCCAGAGGTGGAGCCTGGGCGTTTTCTTCTGGGTGCACGCATCTCATTGGACTGGGGACACCAGAGCTCCGAGGGGTGGGGTGCAGGGACCTCCGGGGAGGATGGGTCTCAGTGACCCCAGGGCATAGGGACTGAGGCTCTGGAACAGCCAGGAAATCCGGCAGCTGCACTCCAGGGGCCCCCGGGGAGCGGGGGCTGGGGGCTGGGGGGTGGGGGGGACCCCGTCCCCTCCTGCTCAGGGCCCACACTCACTCGGGTCCTGATACCGTCTGTGGATCCGGAGCTGGAGGACTGTGGAGGGAAGGAGGGGGTGGGAGGAGAGAGGCGGGAGGGAGTGTCCAGGAGCCCGGCCTGGCAGGCGGTTCGAGCTGCTGTTGTTGGCGGGATGTGCGTGCCCAGCCCCCTTACACACACACACACACACACACACACACACACACGCAGCCCTGCGGGCGGGTGGGCAGGCAGCCCGCTCCCTTTCCTGGGCCTCCCGCCTGCTCCCTGCCAGCAGTGCGCTGAGGGCCAGAGCCGTTCTGGGGCCGGGTGCCAGCCAGCCCAGCGTGCAGGCGGGAGGCAGCCCTGCCCCCCACTCCACCTGCCCCCTTTAGGGGTGTGTGCCCCCCCACCCCTGGCACAACCTCCGTCTGGGCAGCCTGGCCCGTGTGCGCCTCGCCGCCCGCCCTCCTGGATCAGGCCCTCCACTTGGCGCGCACCGCGGCCTTCTGAGCTGCCTCCGGGCCTCCCACCGTCGCCGCCTCTGCACACCCACCTTCCAACACACATTCCCCCGGGCCCTAGTTTTGCACACACGCCACCTCTGCGCCCTCGTGTGTACCTTTGACACTCACTCGTCACCCTGGTCCCCTCCCCGAGCCACATCGGCACCCGTATTTGCACAGTCAGGATCTGGTCCCTGTGCACATTTCTGCTCTTGTGCGCCTGCACTCGTTGCACGGTCCTTGCCCTTTTTTTGGTGATTGTGTGTTTTCACCCATCCAACCACGGTGCACACTCATGGGCACACTCAGGGGCCTTTTGCCTGCTCAGAAACTGACCTCTAGTGCCACACAATTGCATACTTTCCACCGACACTGGGACCTAAAACTCAGCGCTGACACTTGCCAGGCCTCATAGCTCACTGCCCCCCCACAGGCCACTCTGAAGACTCCCCTCGGTGCACGTCGCTTTGCACACATGTCAGGGTAAGCCCCGGTTCCTCTGACCCTCTGCACACGCACCTCTCCCCGCCCACTCCCCACCGTTCACAGGAGCACTGGACTAGCCATTTGCACACTCACTGATCCAGCACAGCCTGCTCCCCTTGCTGAGGCCTCCTGTGGGCACGAGTGCTCTTTTGCACAGAAAGACACAGACCTCTTGGGTCCCACCGCCCTGCTCCCACCTCACCCCGCCCTGCACGCCCCCAGAGTTAGACTGCTCCCCGGGCCCGGAGGACCCCTTCCCCTACGTCTCACCGGAGCGGAACTTGGAGCGAATGATTTGGGAGCGCTGGGAGGGAGCCGCCAGGGTCATGGCCAAGGCTGGGATAGGAACCTGGGCTGGGGGAAGGCAGGACCCCACAGGAGGCGGGGTCACAGTGGAGGTCAGGAGGCTGCCCCGCACGTGAAGGACTCACAGTCAGGAGGGGCTTCGGGCCACAACTGGATCCTGGGAAGGAGGAGGCTGAGGACCCGGACTGCTGGATCCGAGGGAGGAGGGGCTGGGGGCCTGGACCCCTGGGTCTGAGGGAGGAGGGGCTGGGGGCCTGGACTCCTGGGTGTGAGGGAGGAGGGACTGGGGGCCTGGGTCTGAGGGAGGAGGGGCTGGGGGCCTGGACCCCTGGGTCTGAGGGAGGAGGGGCTGGGGGCCTGGACTCCTGGGTGTGAGGGAGGAGGGGCTGGGGGCCTGGGTCTGAGGGAGGAGGGGCTGGGGGCCTGAACCCTGGGTCCGAGGGAGGAGGGGCTGGGGGCCTGGACCCCTGGGTCTGAGGGAGGAGGGGCTAGGGGGCCTGGACCCCTGGGTCTGAGGGAGGAGGGACCTGTGGCCTGGACCCCTGGGTCTGAGGGAGGAGGGACCTGTGGCCTGGACCCCTGGGTCTGAGGGAGGAGGGCTGGGGGCCTGGACCCTGGGTCCGAGGGAGGAGGGGCTGGGGGCCTGGACCCCTGGGTCTGAGGGAGGAGGGTCTGGGTCTGAGGGAGGGCCTCAGGGCCCTAATTCCTGGACCCTGAGGGAGAAAGGACTTGGGATCTGGGACTCCTAGGTCCTAAGAAGGCGGACACTGGGGCCCTGGTCCCCTGAGTCTTGAAAGGAAGGAGAAAGGGAGAAGGGCTGGAACTCACTACAGGGAGGGGACTAGAAGCCAACATCCTCGATCCAGAGGGAAGGAGACCAGTAGGCCTGGGGCATGGAAACGTCTCCTCCCTCTGCATTTGGGAAGGGAGCGGACGGTTGTCAGCCACCACGGTCTGCGGGGGAGGGACTGAGTCCAGAGAGGGGACGGAAGAGTTAAGACGGGTCTGACCCCCCCCCCCCCCAGGGGCTTCTCACCGGGTGGCTCAGTGTCGCTGTGCTCTGCAGCAGGTTGAGTCCCGAGGTCCAGGCTGGAGGCTGCGAGCTGCACCCCACCAGCCTGGGACCCCTCCCCCGCTTTGGGGGCGTGCTGGGAGTCCGTGAAGCGGGGCGGGGAGACGGGAGCCCCGCCTGGGACCGTGAGAAGGGGCGGGAGGGGGGCTGAGAGGGGCGGGGCGGGGCGGGCGTCGGGGTTCCCCGGCTCGCTCCTCCTCCGCGTCCCGGGGCGGCGGGGCGGGCGGGGCCGCGGCGGGAGGACTGACAGCCGCAGGTGCGGCGAGTGGCGCCGGGTGAGCAGCAGAGGCAGGTGGTCGCGTCCCGACCCCACGGGCAGGTGCCACCTGTCGCTTAGCTTTTCCCTGACGCAGCAGCAGGAGTCGGGTTCAGGGGAGTGAAAAGTTCAACTGGATTCCCGGACTCCCGGGCCCTGAAGGAGGGGGAAAGGGACCTGGATTCCTGGGTTTGAAGGAACGTGGGCGGGGCCTGGGCCCCTGGGTGTGCGGAGTGGGCAGGGAGCCCAGACTTCCGGATGCTGGGAATGGGGACTAGAAGTGTTGGGACTGGGCAGAGTGCCTGACCGACAGAAAGTCCAGAATGGGCTGGGGACCGACTCCTGGGTCTGCGGGAGGAGGGGGCTCGAGTATGGACTTCGGGGATCAAAACGAGAGCATGAAAAAAGAAAAGAAAAACCTGGAGGATGGCTGGTTCCCACTGGCAGGCCCGAGGGCCTGATATTTGGCAGAGTAAGCTTACAAGCTCTGCCCCGAGATTTCGTGGGAGGCCCCCGGGCTCCTGGGTTGGGTTACGTGCAAGAGGGCGAGCTAAGGCCGTGGTTATAAATACCTCCTGGGAGTGGGCAGGAGCCCAGTGCCCCAGGCCAGGGCCCTGGTGCTGTATTCTGCAGAAAAACATCAAAAAACGCTTCCGGGTCTTAACAAGCGAGACGTTGTCAATACCTTTATACCACAGATACCTTTATTGCCCCGGCACTCAAATCCCAAACCCATCTACCCACCTTCCCATCCTCTACGACCCAAAAAACTCAAACTCCCAGCATTCCAAGCGGGGGAAAAAACTACAACTCCCAGGAAGTCCTGCGCTCAGGAGGGCTCCAATGAGGAGCAATCCCAGAATTTTTCAAGGCTCGCGCGCTCGTTCGCTATTGGCTTTCAAGGAGGCGTGGCCACAGGGGGTCCGTGGCGGTGATTGGCCGGCAGTTCCTGCTGCTCAAGATCCCAGAGAAGGCGGCGGAGTCTGCGCAGTTCGCGGTGCAAGGCGTCGTCCGTCACCGGCCCGGTGAGGCGCAGGCGCGAGCTGCCCAAGGGCAGGATGAGGGGAGGATGGGAGGAGAAGCTTTCGAAGATGTCCCCTGTGAGACCGGAAACGCAGAGTTAAGTTATGAAAATGGGCGTTAGGCAGAGGACGTGACACAGAGAGAGGCTAGGCAGCGGTGTCACGTCCGAAGGAAGGAAAAACTTAAAACCCCCAGCAACTCCTAGGGCGGGATCCACTCCCAACAGCGACTCGTGGAGTTCCCAAGCATCATGGGAGTTGTAGTCCACACTCTTAAAAGGACACCGTTGCCTGGGAAACGAGCGTTGTGGTTGGGTTCGTGGGTCCACGAGGAAGGAAGGGCTGGAACTTAGTTTTATGGATTCCTGCGAGTGGAGGGCCTGGAGCCGGGACTCCTGGATGACGGGGAGGGCAGTTTGTAGGGGAAAGAAGCTGGGAGTCTGAACCCCTAGGGAATAAAAGAGGGAGCTGGGGGCTTGAAGTCCTGAATCCTGGGGAGAAGGGGATTGAGGTCCTGGGGAGGAGAGGACTAGGGGTCCAAATCCTGAGTACGGAGAAGGAAGGGGCTGGGGCTGTGGATTCCTAGGTCCCAAGGGCAGAAGAAAGCTGGTAGCCCAGTGCCTGTCCCCATGTCTCCTCGCCTGTGTCCACGGCGTCCCGGTCTGCAGGGAGAGGGTCCCAAGCAGGTGGGGGCCCGCGGCCAGGGCCCAGCTGGTAGTGGCTGAGCAGGTGGTGGAGCTGAGCAGGGGTCAGCGTGGGGTGGTCAGTGCGTAGACTGCTCCAGGAAGCCTGGCGGGAGGAGGAGGGGAGAAGTCTGGTCATTGTGGAGCAGCTGAGAAATCCTACATAGAGAGCCCGCCGTAAAGGGGCTGGAGGTAGCGGGAGGGACTGCTGTCTGCGCCGTGTCTTGGGGCACTGTGAGGCCTGGTTGTCCCTGAAGTGATGGTCGGGAAGGGTGTGCTCAGCTTTTTTTTTTTTTTTTTTTTAATATATTTTATTGATTTTTTACAGAGAGGAAGGGACAGAGATAGAGAGCTAGAAACGTCGCTGAATGAGAGAAACATCATCCAGCTGCCTCTTGTACACCCCCTACCGGGGATGTGCCCGCAACCAAGGTACATGCCCTTGACCGGAATCGAACCTGGGACCCCTCAGTCCGCAGACCGACGCTCTACCACTGAGCCAAACCGGCTTCGGCTGCTCTCAGCTTTTTTAAAAAATGTGATTTTCGCCCTCCTTAGACATTTGTCAGTAAATGCACATCCAAACTATAACGGCAGCCACTTTTTTTGTTTTGTTTTTTTCTGTTAATCCTTGAAATATAGTGGCAACCATACTTTGGTAAAAACTGCTGTTTGAATTTTAACCCTTCTAGTTTGGCTCTTGCACCTGACTAAATACAGGGGGGAGGAAAACTATTCACCTTAGCTTTCAGGTGGAGGCTTGGAGGCTAAGGCAATTTTCCCTTGCCTGGGACCAGGACCACAGGAGAGTAATTCCCACTAACTCAGTAACCTTCAGAGATAGAAACTGTAGATAACCTCTGAGCTCTGCTTCTGTGTTATCAGCTATCGAAAGATAGGGCCACATTCCAGTGTCCAGCAGGATGTGACTAGCTGACCCAAGTCTTTAGAATGTAGTCTTTAGGATTTAGAATTTAGAACAAAGGAAAGTTCCTGTGGTTTGGACCTTTAAAAGGGGCTGCCTACCCCTGGAACGGGGCAGTCCTGTGGAGACCACCTGCCTGTGGTGCTCTCGTGTCTGTCCTGGCCAGATATTTCAATAAATTCTTGCCTGTTTTTTTTTAATTAAAAATAAAAATAAAAATGTGATTTTGCTGCTCAGCTGGTGTTGCTCAGAAGTTAAGCATCAACCCATGAACCAGGAGGTCATGGTCAGGGCATATGCCCAGGTTCCGGGTTCAATCCGGATGTGTAGAGAAGGCAACCTATTAATGCGTCTCTCTCACATCGATGTTTCGCTCTCTCGCCCTCTCCCTTCCTCTCTAAAAATTAACAAAACATTTTTTTTAAAGTGATTTGCTGTGGAATAAATGAAGATAGGAGTAGGCAGGGACGGAGAAAACGCGAACTTAGCCGTTCCTCCATACTATTGAAGCTGGTGATGTACCTGAGAATTCATTATTCCACTGTGGCTACTTTTTGTGCCTGTTTGAAAATCTCCACACTTAACCTCGCTGGCGTCGGAATCATCGGTGTGGTCAAAGCCAGAGACTGGACCCAGATTGCCTGGGATCAGAAACTCCAGTTCGGGTTTCTTACCCCCTATCACCTTGTGGCAAGTCACGGTGCCTTGCTCTCCTCACCCGTAAATTGGGGGAGATTAGCAACTACTACGAGGGCTGTTGGAATGATTCAGTATGGCAAGATTCCAAAGTACTTAGAACACTGCCTGGTGCTTATTAAATGCTCTGTACACATTTGACAAATAAAAATAAATAAATGAAGTCAAGTGACCTAGCCTACCTAATTCTCTGTTTCCTTGTCTGAGAAAAAATTGTCCATTAGTAACCCACTTCATGGGGCTTAGCATTCAAACAGAAGTGCCTGGCATGTAGTTTTATGTTCAATGAGTGTGTAGTGTTGTTGTTGTTTTTAATATATTTTATTGATTTTTATGGAGAGTAAGGAAGAAGGATAGAGAGAAACATCAGTCAGCTGTCTCCTGCACACCCCTTACTGGGAATCAAGCCTGCAACCAAGACACATGCTCTTGACTGGAATCGAACCTGGGACCCCTCAGTCTGCGGGCCGATGCTCTATCCACTGAGCCAAGACAGTTAGGGCCAATGAGTGTTTGAACTACCCCATTCCTTGATCTCATACCTGACTTCCTGAGTCAGTATGTCTGAGGGTGGGGGTCCTGGAAACTATTAACCAGTCCCACTGAGATCCAGATGCAACCCCGTTTGGATACTAGTTGGATATATCCTTTGAGCTGCCAGTGCATCCTCCGTGGTGTCTGAGCTGGGACTGGGAATAACATGGAGACCCAGGGAAGACCCAAGGGCACGCTGAATTCGGAGCATGGCTGAAGAGCCAGGAGCCAGGGGTCAGGACTCACCTTGAGCAGGGAGGTGCGAGGCACACAAAGCAAGTTCACAGCCATGGAGAGTTTCCGGAAGAATTCCGTGGCAATGTCTCCCAGCCCAGCCCCCTGCAGCCAGTCCAGGACAAGGTCCAGGTTGGTCCGGATTTGGACAGCTCGAGACCACTGATAGAAAGGTCGGCCCTGGCCTGTGGGGGAAGGGATGAACAGCCGTGGGTGCATGGACCCTGCCCTTCCGCCTCACAGCCCCTTCCTGTCCTTCAGCGTGGGGCCTGGAGCTTGCTTTCCAGAGTGCCTAAGAGCCAGGCCTTCGCCTGTGACGGGTCTGACGTGACCTGGATCTCAGGGACTCCCGTCTCTGCCTCCTCGCCCTTCCCCGTCGGACACTCACCTCGTTCCATCAGCGAGTTGAGAAGGGATGCATTGGAGAAGAAGAACAAGTAGCCGAAAGTCTGAGACACAAGGTCCGGGTGCAGCTCGCACTGGCTGGTCAGCTCCAGAGCTGCCTGGAACACGCCCAGCGTAGGTCTCAAACCGGGAGGCATGGCCTCCAGCTCCGTGCCAGGGCCCGGAAGCTCCGCCCCCGCGGTGAAAGGGTTACTATCCAGGAGAGCTGGCAGCGTGGAATACAGAGTCTGAGGAGATAACAGAGATGCAACCAAGATCAGACTACAACTCCCAGAAGAGTCAGGGTAGCAGCCTATGAAGATACTGGGGGAGTTCCACCAAAGGTCTCTGGGAATTGTAGTCCATTTTGCCTTCAACATCCTAAAGATCTCCATGAATCAATTCCTACTTTCCAATTGGGTGTCTAGCATGCATCCGGCCTGGGGCACCTCAGGTCTTAAGAAAGGCTTTGCAGAAGTTTCTTGGGCATTTTAAGACCACTTCTGGTGCCTTACTGGACTTGCAGTTTCTCAACAGAGACAACTCAAGGAGGACAAAGGATACTGAGCAAGGAGGCCCCCTTTAGTCAAAGAAGTATTTATCCCGAATTCCTGAAGGAAAGAAAAAGAATGGAGAGCCAGGAAGTGGGAGTGGGGTGGCAGTCAGCCAGTGGAAAGTGA